AGGTCGTTAAAAAGAAAATGTCAGGTTCGCTTTCCGCTGCCACCAGTGTAGCGTGTACAACAAATAGTATGCATTATCTTGAAACAATTTAAGGGACAAGTTAATGTCTGGTGGTGATTCTTATCTTGCCCATTCACACGTGGGCTGGGCTTCGAACCAAGCCAAAGAGCAATCTCTTCTAATCCTAATAACATTCGCGTGTTTAGCTTAAATTAAAGCCTTCTTTAACGTAGTGGGAATGTTAGGGAGCTATAGTATTCTGGCAGAAGAACTACACTTAAATCCACACTAGAATTATCTCTATTTATTCAGATCTCACGATGCATGGACAAACTCTTCAAAACTACAGCTATGCCTTTCATGAAACATCGGGTTAATGTTCATTTTGCATTCTTTCCACCGCATCTAAATGTGAATACCGGCAATATGCGAATGCACGAAGACATTTTTCAGGCACTGTGATGCATACCGTATTACCCAGTTCCAGTCTGTTTCACACCAGCCTTCCAGGCTCTAACAATGCGAATACATGATCTTTAGCAGACTCATCATTCACTGCATCTTGATGGCGAGGCGAATAAAATCGATTATCTAGGTGGTATGAGAAAGACCGGGGATTTGAGGTCATGTGTCGTTGTCCAGCCGCGTAGTAGTGGATGAATTTGGCAGTGAATAGGCGGTGGGAAGCGCATAGTAGTCTTTGCTTGAAAGAGGCGAAGAGCAAAGTAACACTGCTTATTTGCCTTTTAGATATAGCGGTAGACTCATACATCAACTACAGTGTTGTGCCTCAAGGGCGATAGTAGTGCACACTAAAGAACCACCCATTAAACAAAATTTTAACAAAAAAGATTATAGTTAACTAAGTAAACACGCTATTAAACATTATTGTTTTAATATACATTTATCATTTTGGTTTGTTTTAACTAATAAGATTTAATTATATTTATGTAGCGCTTATTTGTCTTTGTTTGGGTGAGAAGATCCAGCTGAAATACATGAGGTTTCATGCCCGTGCATAATAGGTTTCTAATTCGTTTCAGCCTTAGCATATAAAATTTTTTGACAGGAAGTATTTTTATGCTTGCTAAGGCGCGTTTTAGCCATACGTAATCGAATTGTGTGACTTAATTTCTTTGAACTTTCTCGTTTTCGGCTGTGCAGTGTTTATGCTGCATTGTTATTCAACACTCCTTTATTAAAATTTTGTTGGAAAGTCTTTGCGCATCTTAAGTATACGCTGCTAAAAACTATTGTTATTAATTTTTTAAACCTGTTTATTTGTTCGTTTTAATTCCGCAAGTTACCTGCATATCCCTTCGAACAATTCGTGGATGTTAATTTTTATGTATTTTTTGATTCTGTTTTTTGTCTTATGTAGTGTGCTTAGTCGGATGCTGCCCTGCAAAGTATGTGGTGGCTACTCACCTTATGCAGATACCCAGATCTCACCTGACCGTGACTTTTGTAAATGTACCATGCGGATTTTCTCACATGCTGAGGAAGATCTCGATGAAGGATTGGAATTGTTGCATCTTCAAAATCGTCAATTCGAATTACAGGTATTTATTTCTGCATCTGTAATGCATTTGTTATTAAGTATTTTTTTGCCACGAATTCTGACATCTCCTAGACATTTTGCCTTTTTATGGCCACTTTATTTGTTTTCTTCACTTAGGACGACGTCATGAAATTGTCTGAGAAAATGCACTGTCTAGATTCGTCGAATCCAATGGAACACGACGTTGACGATCATTTAAAAGGTAATGGTTTATCAGGGCACCAAACTTTCGTCAGGATCCTAACTAGCGCTCCTCGCAGAGACCCATCCAGGCCTGAATGCACGGATTCACGATGTAATTTTCTTCATTTTTAAGCCAGTAATACTTCGATTCCTTATGCTTTTTTATCCGGCTTCGCAATTCTAACGATATTTTTTCATTGCTTCAACGTGATGGTGGTTTACGTCTGGTTGGTATCAATTTTCTGAACATTGTTTAGTGTGTGACAATTACACATTAATTTTCAATATAAGGCAGTATTGTAGCTAATTTTTTATTAGATGATTTACCAAAAATCAAAGTACTAAAACTAGTTTTAGTTACGATTGTTTACGTAATGTCGTAATATTTAGTAAATGGCTCCTAGTGAAAATTTTTTAAGCTTTACCAAAGTTTTCCCTTAATTATAAAGTGAGAAAAGTTGCTATTTTTGTGTTGTTTGACCTGCAGAAACAGCAAGCGTTGCGCACCATTTTATTCCATCGCTCCATTTTAATTTTATACGTCATTTCAAACTACTTGATTTTTCTAATCTTACTTTTTGAGATTAAATTAATCGACAAAACTTGTTAACGAAAGTCTGTTTTAAGCTTACGAACTGATTAACATGAATAGTAAATATGTCTCAGTTAACATTCTGTACTTCGTCTGTCGGTAATAGTAAAACCATTTGCTTGCTTCCTTAGTTCCACCCTCTCTCCAGAAAGGACCATCGAAACTGACGCATTGTGAAAAAAACTCCATTTCTCTTAAGAGACCGGGAGTACGGCCAGGAACTGCTCCTCCCGGAGGCCTGATAAGTGAAATGTACCTTAAAAAAGAGCAAATGTTTGGTCTGCCTTTTTAGTTTTGATAATGGTTTGATGTCGATTTTAGTGTGGACCTACAGGATATACGTGAGGAGATTGCAATGTTGCACAGGAAATTTGACAAAGAGCTGAAGGTAGTCGGAAATATTTCTCCTCTTATTACCTTATTCAGTAATTCACTCTTCTGATTATCTTAATAGAATGTTCTTGTCTGCATTTAGAGCATGCGTGATGTCTTGTTTGGCAACATTGGTAAGGCGATTAGGCCAATTGAGACACCAAAGGCACCACCACATGTGAGCAGGGGATTGTGCAAAGCGTTTTACTGAGTGCCTGCTCATTTCACACAAAAAAGTAAAATATTGTTTTTTTTCAGACCGAGGGCAAGGAAAATACAGTGCCTGGAACCATACTAAGTGAGGCTCAGCAGGCCCTCATCGATGCTACTAGGCGGAGGAGGATGTTTGAGACTAGTGTAGCAAACTGTGAGCGATCGCGTGCACAACGCAATGTCTTTGACATTCTGGGACACTTGGATGAGTTAGTTACTTCAAATTTTGTGCATTCATAAAATGGGCAAATCTGAAGTAGTCGACTGGCTGTGTCCGGCTTTCTGGATTCAAAGTTATGTTGGTGCTATAGTAGAGGTGGTCAACGGATTGGGCATAGCTTTTGTCGAGACTTACTGTAGATTCTAGAGAATTTTAATGGGTTGTGCGTCCTTGATGTGTGATGTTGTTGTTCCTGCCACTATTTCATTGTTCTCTGATACATTAGTGAAATAAATATGCCCACTTTAACCTCATTTCAAACCTCTTTACTTGCTGGTTGACATTAAAAGAGTAGTTCAAGCGTTTTCATGCATGACATTCGGGATGATTTTCTCTCCATTCCTAAGTGTCTTGAGGACATTAGTAGGCCGTGTGTTATTTCAGAACGATTTGTCCATCTTTCACCACATGCTTGTCTGCGCATTGTGATTGTCACTGTTTTGTGATGATGAACAGGTAAGAAAGGCTTATGACATGAAACGTGAGAGATGGTTGGAGGCATGAGTTCTACTTTTCACGCCAATTTCTGTACTACTTGATTTTGTGTCTTAATTGATAACTTTTTAGGGGAGACAATGACGTTCTGCGCATAAGAGCTCTGCTTGATGATGCCGTGAATAATTTAGAGGCTCTACAGAAACCGGTAAGCAGTTATTCTCATTGCCGTTCTCACTGCTCAGCAGAAATTAGTTCCTCCGAAAGCCTCAATGCTCTCCAATCGCCTTGCTCGTTTAAGTGCTCCAAAACAGTTCAAAAATGCATCGAGGCAACCACAAAAGCATACCAATCAACGACCTTTATCAGTGCCTCCAACATCAGAAACTGCAATGACGACTTCTCCATACAGAAGATCTACTGGTATAGCAGAGCTTGTCGACTTTTCCACAACCAAAACTACCACCGCACCGCTTATGCAGCGACCTAAAGTTATCCTTGCATCGAACACTTCGTCAAAAGGTATTTCTCATTGTTAATTTTTAGTAGTCAAGTTTTATGCACCTTCAGTGACCTTGACAATCAGTTTTAATGCACAATTTTAGTGAATTCTCAAGCTATTAAGCATGAAAAAGTTGTTCGTTTCGAAGGAACGTGCTCTCGACCACAAGGCCCATCAAAAGTCACTTCATCAATGCCATCATTTTACAAAAAAAAGGAGGCTGTATTTGTGCCTTTGGGAATGCGTCAGTACTCCATGTGGCCAACAGAGAAGGCTCAAGTTAGTAAATGACAAAATCTTGAAATAGATTTTACTTCATCACTAATGAAT